GAGCAACTTCCCTGCACGGTATAAGAAGCCAGCAATTGTACTTGCACTCCACGACGGTGGGAAATCAACACATGGACGATGTGATGCAGAATAAGTCACAAACATCTGTTCTAAACCTTCCTCGATGCTGATCGGGCCGTACCTACGATCTTCCACCAACCTGATCTTCATAATGCTAGTGTAGACCTCAGAATACGCGCCTCGTAGATGTCCAGGATGTTGTAACAACTGTTCCCGACGCAAACGTTCATAATCGGACTTCTCCTTCGCATCCTGGACCCCCTGGGACACCCAACTTGACTGCGCCTGCTTGGGCCCTCGAAGCCGCGGTGGCGGACGACGACGACCCGCTTCTCGCCGTGGTCCAAGTAGTGGTCCTTGTCGGGTCCCACGGCGTTGACAACCACGATCACCATTGTTGCACTCAGGATTGCCGAATTTGACCACGCGGGACTCCCTTGCAAACGCCTGCGCCTCCGACGGAAAGATAGCCACTGGTAACATACACAGTGTCCCCAACGACTTCCGCAGAAGATGATGTCTCGGCCATCCACCCTTTGGCGTATCTGGAGACATGATGGCCGCAATGTGTTCTCGAAGTCGTGCGGCCAGCCCTGGGGTAGTAACCAACTGCGTGAGATTCACTTTGCCGATGTACACTCCTGCTGCATTCCACAAGACATAGGCAGACGACTCTGTAGGCGTCGATCTTGCTTCCGCATAACCCTGGCACCACGACAACCAATCCGCATCAAGATTGCTGATGGCTAACTTCGCATAGGGTGGTAAGACACGGAATACTCTGGCCGCCCACCTGGGACATTTCGGCTGTTGCAGAGCCTGGCGTAATCGTATTACGCCCATCGCCATGAAGATATGAGTAACACTGATCATCACGCTGGTCTCCGTGATGCCCTGCTTCTTGCCGTTGGGGAAATTGCATACCAACAACCGATGTAGGAACAACTGTAGGGCAGGAAGACCACCCCGAGGTACCATTGACCAGATCCTCACTCGAACCGCGGCGGCCCTTTCCTGCGACGGTGTTTGGATGAACTGCTGAACCTGTTGTACCTCCTGCAATGCCCAAGCATATTGTGTGGCGGGGACTGGCCGACGGACGGTACCTGGAGAGTGCACGGATGGTGAGGACGAGCTGGACGTAGTGTGAGCTGTAGGCGCATGTGCCCGTTGAAGGCGAGGTGGCATATGAAACTTATGAATGTGAACGGGATGAATCCTGCGACACCGTTGCTGGAAGGCCGGCTTGCCGCACGTGTGATGTGTTCTCCAAGGCGATGAATGGGATGCAGATCGGTTCGAGGCTGGCGGTAGGCGTAGGCCCGAGACTCCAATCTGTTTTCCTTGCACCACTGAGCCGCTCGGGGGTCGATCTGTGACCGACGGACCGCCAGCGCTTCCTTGAGCGTCCATGCGGAAGAGCGGGCTCCCCTGGGGCCCGTCCTCGAGCCACACGCGCCCACGGGAAGAAAGTGTGTGTGTGTGTGTAAGGGGGGGGGCCCATGCCAAGAAACCCTGCTTGCCTCCAGGGCGCCCTGGGTTTCTTGGGTTTCGATGGTTTTGCTGTGGAAGGCGCGACTTTCCCACGCCAGAAATCAACGGCCATCCTGGGGTCTTAGGGTTGGGTTTCTTGTGGAAGGGTTCTCGCGGTCTGGCCCCCAACTGTGCAATTGGGGGGCCCGCTGACGGAAGAGGATCCGTTTTCTTGTTCGAAGTGTGCGCACCGAAGTTTCGGATAACCTCGGGCTGGCGGCCGTGCGATGTCAGGGCCAGCCCTCCGTCAGCCCCTCTGGAATCAAGTCGAGGGAACTTTTCGCGATCCAGGGTGCACTGAATAGCTCGATGCTATGCACTCTGGTTTGTAAAAGCTCCCACTCTTGGGCGCCGAAATGGCCCAAGGACTCACGCCGCAGTCTAAACGGCGCACTCAGAGAAAGATGCCCAATAATGTATGTGCGTGCACGGACCTGGATGAGTTTGATCTCGACATGTTGTCATTTGTGCTCTATCCGCCCCATCACTGTTCATTATCAAATTTCTCGCGGCACAATACCGTCCCCTTATAAATTATGCCCCGCTCTTTGCGTTCTCGGCTCCCGAAGAGTGCGTAAAATGGGTTCGGGTCTGTGAAAGCATTCACTCCTGGGCGCCGATGTGGCCCAGGGGCTCACGCCACAGTCTAGACAGCATCGGTTTCATATTAGTCATATTCCCCACCCAAAGCAAGATGCCCAGTGATTTTGCTATTTCCGCCATCGATCTCGGATCTCGGACCTCCCTGACCTCCACGCACCTGGTCCCCGCGCTTCTCCTGTCCCTCGCCTCTTCACGTCGGGCACGCGTGCCATTTGTTTTGGGCGACGTCGGGGTCATGTTGATAGGTGCATGTGTGCTTGGAACTCCTGGCCCTGCTCTGAGCGGGCCCGGCTTCCTCTTCCTCCCGCCCGCGCTGGGACTCCTCGCTCTTCCCGCGTGTCTTGCGGCTTAATGCGCGTTTTGTGTGACCCCTAATGCCACATCGCTGGAGCAGTCCGTCTGCCCAGCCGCCGACGCAAAAAGTGTGCTTGGAACCTGGGCGGCATGGCTTCACCGGGGCTCGGAGCTCGTTGCTCATCGTCATCGTTCTTGCGGGCGCGGTTGTGGCGCCAGAGCCACACGGGGGCGGGGGGCGTTACTTCAAACCCCCCCCTGCCCCCCCCACCCCATGACGCCCGTCATCCACTCTCGAACTCGGGCGGCATGGCTTCCCGGGGGTCGGAGTCGGAGCTCGGAGTCGGAGCTCGGAGCCATAGCTCGGGGCAAGGCGTGCGCTTCTGCTCGCCCTTGCCAGTGCCGAAGCCGGGCTGGGCCTGGCGCAGCCCCCTCCGCAGCGTGATTGAGATTGCTCGGCGAAGGGAAAGGACTCCGCGAATGAGATGTTCGCACCGTGCAGGGTGGGCATGTTTTCCGCCACCACCACCATGAGGTTGGAGGGGGAAGAGGAGGAGGAGGAGGAGGAGGAGGAGGAGGAGGAGGAAGAGGAGGAGGAGGAGAGGGAAGAGGAGTAAGAGGGCCCCCTCCCCCTCCTATTCATGGTGGTGGCGGTGGATAACAACACGCCCACCAAGACAGGGCGGGCGCCTGCCGGGGCGTCGTCGATTCCTCGACCCATGAAGGGTACGGTGCAAGTGTTCGGTCGGCCCGCGGAGGCGAACGCAGGTGCACCGCGCCGCGCGTGGGCGGGGCCTGAAGGGAACGAGCGCCGTGCTCGCAGCAACGGCACGAACATCGACATTCGGAGGCCCGCGCGGATCTCTCTGGTCGGCGTTCGGCCCCGCTGGCGGCGCGCGCGCCAGGGCAGGGGGGGTCCAACGATGACGCAAGAAGGAGCGCGCTGGCTTCTGACAGTTCGCGCGGCATGCACCGTTTGCCCTTTGTTTTCTATATCGGGCACCCAGACGCTTCAGCTCGTCGGCGCCGTCGATCGAAGCTTTGTGTTTGCATCAGGCAGCAGGGACATTTACCAACGACGTGCGAGGTGTTCAAGGTTCGCTCCTCTGTGCGGGCCGCTGCTTCGTCGCCACGACCGGATCCAACACAGAAATTTGGCCAGAACGGACCCTTGGGCTCCATGCGGCCCTTGGGAGAGGTCCCCTTGGGACAGTACGCATGCCTCGCGCGGTGCTCCTCTCGGCGGTCTGCGCCGCGCCTCTTGGTTTTCGCCCGTCCCCCCTCACCCCCTTCGCCCGCGTCGACCCTCAATTTGCGCGGCCGCTGGCCAGTTCATTCTCAGCCGAGGGCGTTCGACTTCGTTCGGGCATGTCCTCCTACAGGCGGATCTGGGAAGGCAGAAGTTGAACATAGTCCAAGCATGTTCATAAATGGCCAAAATAATCAAAATCGTCCCCGGATTGTTTTCTAACTATTCTTGAAGATCCCTCCTGTAGAGGGACATGCCCGACTTAACGTTACACGGACCCGCAATCCGTGTGCAGCGGCGCGCGGACAGCACCTTTTTTGGACAGCGGCAAGGGCGGGCGCCAACACGTTCGGAAAGCCGGCGGGGCGCCCACGAGGCAATTACAGGCCTCGGACGAATTCAGCGCACACTCGCGCCGCATTCATCTGTCAACGCCCCCCCCACTGATAAATGTTGGCGGTGGGCTGAATGAGCTGCACTTCGACCGCGGTCTTCCCGCGCGTGCGAGCCTCGAGTCTGGGGGAGCGGGGGGGAGTCCGCGTAGGGAAGAGACGAGGGCGGCCGCGGAGGAGGCGCGCGGGAGGAGGCCTCTGGCCACGAGGAGCGCGCACCGTGCAGACGCGGCGGGCAGAGGTGCTTCCCCGGGGTGCCGAAGCTGTTTCGGCCCGGCGCGCCTGCTGCCCTCGACCTGGACGACGCCAGCCGCGCACCAGGCCAGCTCGGCCGCCGCCGCGCGTGCCGGCACGCGCGGCGGCGCGCACCGAGCTCGCCCCCGGCACGCGCCTGCCGCCGTCCAGGACGCGGCGCCCGGCTCTCCAGACGTCCGACGCCCTGGGGTCTTCTGCGCGGGGCCCTTGGAAGCCCCGACCCTCGAGGAGCCAGAAGCAGCACGAGCAGGAACTGCTGAAGCTCCCCGCGGGTTTCCTGGATCGGCGCTGGGCCCCCCTGGCGGCGCCCTTGGCGCCGCCCCCGGGGGGCGCCCAGCGCAGATCCAAGGATTTCGCGCGGGGCGTCGACCGTTTCTGGTGATGCCGGTTTCTCTTCCTCGAGACCCTCCCCCCAGGACCCGATTTCCGGCCCGAGCTGGCTTTCCACGGCCCTTGGGCCTGGTGCTGGCCCTTCCCATGGGGTCCGAAAAATTGCGAACGGGCTCCGCGTTGAGTGTTTGATGCGAGGAGGAGAAGGAGGAGGAGGAGGAGGAACAGGAGGAGGAGGAGGAGAAGAAGGAGGAGGAGCAGCAGGAGGAGAAGCAGCAGGAGGAGGAGGAGGAGGAGGAGGAGAAGGAGGAGGAGGAGGAGGAGGGCTCAACGCGTGGGAGGTCTGGGGCCCCAGGCTGCCCCGCGCGGGCGCCCACCCTCCTCTCGGGCCCCTTCGGAATGGCGTTGGCGGCCGCGCGCGCCGTGGGGCTAATCCACCTCTTCGGACGTTGGCAGCTATACACCGACACCGATCCTGGCGAGCTCCACCCTGCGCCCAGGATCGAAGTGATTATGCGCCGTCCTGGCAAGGCCAGGAGGACGTATACCCAGACATCCGATGCATTCTTGCTCCGCAGCGCAACCGTTTTCTTACTCATTGTTTTGCCGATCGGCGCGGGCCCTCGCCGCCCCCCCCTCCCCCCTCACCCCGCGGAGTAGATCTCGGCTGCTTTGGGCGCCTGGTTCAGGCAGGTGGAGTCTCCGCCATCGGACGCGCTGCTGCAAACAGTGGCCCCCCCCTCCCCCCTTCCTTCCGCCCACGGTCGAGACGCCGAATCCGAAGACGCTCACCTCCTTCCTGCTGGATATCGGCTTCCTCGTCCCGAGTCCTTCTGGGACGGCGGCCCCCGGCGGGCCAGGCAATGGGGGCCTCCGGAGGCCGAGGGTGGCCAGCTTTCTCCCTCGTGCTTGTCGTCACGACGCGAGGAGGTCGGGGTACGCCGATGCTGGGCCCAGGATTGGCGTAGCTCTAAGTTGGAGGTTGATAGACCTCCTACCCTGACACGTCGATTCAGGAATTGGCCGTTTTCGGTTCGCGAGAGGGCGTCAGGGCCGTTATTTTTGCGGGTCCAGGTCCGTCGGTTTCGGCCCCAGGCCGCTTTCACTAAAGGGAGGTGTACTAAAGGGAGGTTTGTCCACCGCCGACTCAGCCTCCCGGATGGGGTCAGAGTCGATTTGAGCCGGGCCTGTCCCTCTACAGGAGGGAGATTCAAAAATAGTATGAACGTAGTGTGGGGGCGATTGTCTGACTGTGTTTTAGCATTTTGGGTGTATTTGTTGACTCTTTTTTTATTTTTCGTTCAGAATCCTCCTGTAGGAGGAAACGCCCGACCTAAGAATAGATGGGGTCGGAGGATCGCGCCGCATCGCCGGTGCATCGGCGAGGCGGCTCGCTGCGAAACCCGATTTTCGCCACGCCGACGGCGGCGATGCATCGGCGATGCGGTGCGTTCCTCCGGCCCCCTCTACTCGGACCCCATGTGGGAGGCCGAGGCCTCTAGGACCCAGACATCTGGCTGCTCCAATTTTTCGATGCGTGGGCACAGGAGGTCCAGACCACTTCCCTGGGGCTGGTTTTTCGCCTGGCGTCGTTTTCGGACGCCCCCAGAGGCCGAAAACGGCCCCCCAGAAAACCGCCTGCTCCAATTTTGTTGGAGCGCTGGATCTTTGGGGATTGGCGTAGCGCCAGTGTAGACAGCGGAGGCATGTGCCAAGGAACACCCTGCTTGCCTCCAGGGTTCCCTGGGTTTCTTTGGTTTCGATGGCTTTGCGGTGGAAAGCGGTGACGCTCCCGCACCAGAAACCGGTGGACGTCCCGGGGCCTCAGGGTTGGGCCTCCTGGGGCAGGTCTCTTGCGGATTGGCCTCCACTATAGCCCAGGGCGGTGCCAGTGTACAGCAGCCGCCGTCCTGCCTCCGCGCCTGCCCCGGCGCGGCCCTCGCCCCTGGCCGCCGCATCCCCCTGGCCTCGCGCGCCGCGCCCGCGGGCGCGGAGGCCTTCGCCGGCTGGCGCCTCGGGCGCCCGGAGGCGCCGGGGCAGGGCCGGAGGATCAACCCAGACCCTCTCGAGTATCTCAAGCAGTGGCGAAGCGTCCTGGCTCGCCTAGAGCCCTACCAGACAATGTTCTAAGAGCTTTCTGTGGTTCGCACGAGATGTTCTCAGAACAGCTCTAGTTGGGGCTGTCTTGTTTTAACACATCGGGCTTGTGTTCTAAGAACATTGTTTTGTTCTTAGAACATTTGTGGGTTCTAAGATTATTTCGTGGTAGGACTATAGGAATGCCGGGACGGTCGGTCCCTGCTCAAGTATCAGGCGATCGCAAACATGGATCAAGGGGGCGTGGATTAGCGACGGGTCCCGTTTCCCTGGCATGGGAAATCGCGGATTTCCGCCGCCGAGCGAGGCGGCACCGGCCGCATTTTGGGAAGGGCACCACCATCGATCCATGGATTCGGCGACCGCGCGCCAAATCCATGGATCTAATCCATGTTTGCGCACCCACGAGAGTAATGACAGAATCACGACGGGGGGGTTGTCGCTAAGTTTGGTCTCCAGGCGCCCTTGCCAGGCCTCGGGACCGTTCAAAAGCGGCTCAGGATGAGAAACCAGTTCCAGGGAATGGGTCGAGATCTTTTTGCTTAAGAATTAATATGGGGACAAGTCTTTCATTTTTTTTAACTATTTTTGAATATGTTTGGACTATTTTTATTTTTGGTCCAAAATCCCCCTGTATGAGGACACGCCCGACCCGACTCTGGGGGTCGACGCTATGAACACATCATGACGTCGGGGGTCTGGGAAGCCGCATCGCCGATGCATCGGCGACATGGCTCGATGTGGAGCGCGAGTTTCGCCACGCCGACGTCGTCGATGCATCGCCGACGTCGCCGTTGCATCACCGATGCATCGCCCACGCATCGTCGATCCAGCGCGATCCTCCGACCTCATCTACTCGGAGGAGGCCTCTATAAACCTTCCTGTGCGAACCCCCCGTTGAGTTCAGAAAGCCAGTTGAGACAACGATAGTTGGCCTTCGGGGGGCGGTCCTCGTCGCCACGGTCGGACGCAGCTCGGAAAAACGGGTGCGTTTGGACCCTGGGAGGGGTTCAGGGACCGATTTTGAGTTGCCGTTGTCCCAACTCGCCCTGCTCCCCCTGCTCCCCGAGATGAAGAGGGAAGCGCGGTGACGCTCACTGACCTCCCCCGAGTCGCGAGCAGAAGTCACAGCGGAATGATGCTGGAGGCTACGGTCGGACCGAGGTATGAGATCGAGGTCTCGGCTGGATGTTTTGTTGTGCCTCCCGGGAGGGCACCCTCGAAGGATCGTGAGGTTTGGGGCGTTTTGGCCGGCGGAGGGTCTCCTCTATTTGAGGGATGTTCTTCTGGCCCAGGTCCGACTGGGCATACAGTCGGTGCGCTGAAGAAGGAACCCTTTTCGTTGTGGAGGGGCTCCGTGTTCTTCATTGTTTCACAGCTTGCCGCAGGGGTTCCTTAGGTTTTCGATGGGAAATCGAAGTCCAACTTCTGGAGAAAAGGAGCCTCGTTCCTTATTTTGGGTCCCTTAGGTCAACGCCCCGACGGTAGTAAGGGTGGGCAACCTTCCCAAGGGTACCCTTGCATCCCTGCCTCCTCGGCCTGGGCCGCGGGGTGGAACGGGCCAGCCGGGCCAGTCCGCTGGGCACTCGGGTCAGCCAGAGGGGCTATGGTTAAGTCCTGCCTGTCCCTCTACAGGAGGAAAATTCAAAAGTAGTAACAACAATAGTCTGGGTATGATTTTTCACCATGCCTGAGGGATTTTTTGAATGTTCTTTTTAATAGTATTTTTGATTTCTCGCCCAGAATCGCCCTGTAGGGGGCCCAGGCCCGACCTGGGGCTCTGGTCTGCGGGCGGGGTCCAACACCTGCGCCCAACAACATGCCCCTCCAGGGGGCCTCCGACGCTGTCTACGAGCCTGTGGCCCACCCGAGTCAAAGCACACCCAGGCGCGCCTGCGAGCGACGCTGCCCCCGACCCAGGCGCCGCGGGGGACGGAGAGAGCTTCCCCGCCGCCGCCGAGACCGGCCCCGCAGCCCGCGCACGCGCGCCCTCCTCGCCCCCTCCCCGCGCCGCGCGCGCGCGCCGCCGAGGTACCCCCAGCGGCGGCTCCCCCCGGGCCGCCCGCGGGCGGGCTGGGCCCCGAGGCTCGGGCCGGACGAAAGGGGGGCATTGGGAAAGGGGGGGGATACGAAATTTGCTACGTGCAGCTGGTTTCGGCCCCACTGAGGGGCCCATCCCTCGATACATACCCGCCTCTGGCGCCGGGAGGCGCGGGGAAAATCACCATACGTGAGCTGATTCGCAAACCCCCCCCTTTTGCTATCCCCCCTTTCGCCCGACCCGAGAGGCGCTGCCCGCGGTCGTGCTGCTGCTGGGGGTCGCCCTGGCCGTGCTGGCGGCGCTGGGGGCGCAGTGGCTGTCCCGCGGGCGGCCACGGGGCGGGGCGGAGGAGGGCGCGCCGCACCAGGACGCCCCTCGAGTCGCAGGGCTCGTTTCGATTCCCCGAGTCGATTCGATTCGATTTCGAGGGCTTCCGATTCCGACTCGGGATTCCGGCTCGGGATTCCGATGTGGATTCCGACGTCTCTTTGGACGCAAACTAGCCCGTGGATTTCCGCCGGTTCGACTCGTCTCCCGACTCGGCTGCCGATTTCCGCCGATCCGATTCATTTCGATCGCCGATGCGACTTATCGATTCGATTCTGGGCTCTCCTGCCTCGAGTCTTATGATGGTCCAACCTACTTCAGCCATGATCGCCAGAGAAAGACTTTCGAGCACCAGGAAAGTGCCAAAGCTGGAGGGTTTCCACGCGTCGGGCCCTGGGAGGCGATACTCGCTCGACACGGTTTCGATATTTCTCGAGGTGCTCGAAGTTATCTCTGGGATGTGGCCCGTCAGTGCGATGGGAGCAGCATAACTCGAGTCGTGGAAAGAAGCACGACGGGGGGGGGTCGCCACATGCGGTCTCTGCCGGGAGCCCTTGCCTCGGCGGCGACGAGAAGGGCCGGTATATCCGCCCAGGGGCGGGCATTACACGTATTCGCCAGGGAGCCTTGTCGAAATCATAGATCATCGGCGCCCCTGGATACATTGTATTGCTCTCCCCTGGGCTATTCGCCCCTATCGCCCCCTCTGATTGCCGGGCCCCGGGGCCGCCCAGAAACGCGCTGCCAAGCTGGCCCCGGGGAGGGGGGCGAGGCCCTGGGGGGCCCCCGACGCCGTGGCTAGGAGGAGACCGCACCGCCGGGGGCTCTCTCGGCAGGACGCCGCCGCCGCGGAGGCCGCGCCGCCGGAGGCCGCGCCGCCGGAGGCCGCCGCCGCGGCGGCCGCGGCGGCGCCCGGGGCCGCCGCGCCGCAGCAGGCGCAGCAGCGGCGCCGGCCACCGCCCGCCGTGGCGCCGCCGCGCCCCGCGGCGGCCGGGCCGCTGCCGCCGGGCCGGGTCGAGCGGGGCGCCAGCGACTGAGCGCGAGCGGGCGCCGCGGCCGCGCGCGTGCGGGCAGCCTGGCGGCCTGCGGCCTGCGGCCTGCGCTCCTCGACCGGCTCGTGCCTCCCCCCGGCCTCGGGCCTCGGTGCTCGTCCAGCTCCTCGGTGCCCGAGGCTCGAGGCGCGGTCGTCCTCGTCCTGCTCGTGCCTCCCCCCGTCCTCGATGCTCGAGCCTCGCCCTGCTCGTCCCTCCTGCCTTCCTCGTCCTTGGGCGTTCGATCGTGGCCCCCTCTGTTGAGCGCCGCCGCCCAGCGTTCGCGCCGAAGGCCGCCGGAAGAAAGGCCACCGAAGACCGCCGAAGACCGTCAGAGGGCCGCCGAAGGCGGTCAGGAGACCGCCCAAGGCCGATGGGCAACGAGGGGGCGGGTCCATGGTCGAACGCGTAGCTCATTCGCATCTCTCCTCGTCCTCGTCCTCTTCTGAGCCCGAGTCGCGTGGTCTGTGTGCCAGGGCGCCCCTGACGGCGCCGCGTGGTCAGAGCCCTCAGAGCCCTCCCGCCCGTCCTGCGTTGCTGCTGCTCTCCCCCCCCTCTGCCTGGGCCGCGCCTCAATTCGCACGGGACCGCTTCAGGGGCACCAGTGTGCCCGATCGCCGTCCGCTCGCGGGCGTAGCGGCGAGACGCAGAGACGACGTGCGCGTGCATCGGGGGCTCGCGAGGTCGTCAAACTCTGCCATCGTTGCCGTCCTCCTCCTCCTCCTCCTCCTCCTCCTCCTCCTGCTCTTCCTCCCTCCTGCTCCCTCCTCCTCCTCGTCATCCTCCTCCTCCCTCCTCCTTTCCCTCCCTCCTCCTCCTCCTCCTCCTCCTCCTCCTCCTCCTCCTCCTCCTCCTCCTCGCTCCTCGCTCCTCGCGTCTCCTCCCCCTCCCCCTCCTCCTCCTCCTCCTCCTCCTCCTCCTCCTCCCTCATCCTCATCCTCATCCTCATCCTCATCCTCATCCTCATCTCGCCTTCTCCTCCTCGCTCCTCCTCCCTCCTCCTCTATCCTTCTCCCTCCTCCTGCTCCCTCCCCTCCTCCTCCTCCTCCTCCTCCTCCTCCTCCTCCTCCTCCTCCTCCTCCTCCTCCTGGTGGCGCGCACAAAGGGCTGGCGCGAGGCGTGAGAAGGCCTTTCAAGTGGCAGGAGGGGTTCTTAGAAGGCATGGGCTTTCGTGGAAGGGTCCAGAATCTTCTGAAAAGGTTTCTTGGAAGCCCGGAGGGTTTCGAGAACACGCCAAGGTTCTTAGAAGACCCTCCGGCGCTCTCTGAAGGCCGCCCCCTTTGCCGCCCACCCTGCCTCGAGAGGCAGCTGGCACGAGGGCTCAGCAGAAATGCATCGAATGTGGAGGAGGCACCCTGGTTTTCTTTGTGTTTGGGCTTTCCACGTCCTCTTCCTCCTGCTTCTCCTCCTCCCCCTCCTGCTCCTCCTCCTCCTCCTCCTCCTCCTCCTCCTCCTCCTCCTCCTCCTCCTCCTATTCCATGATGTTCTTCGTAGTTGAGCTTTCCTCCTCGAGACCTTCTTCGTTTGGGCAATCTCCATGGCGCCTTGGTGCCTCGGCGACGGGGATCATGTTCATGATCCGCAAGCTCGTGGCCACGTGTTCTCAGCGACGAGCCCCGGCGGGACGTGAGGAGGGGGCAGGCCTTCTCAAAATGTGGCGGGGCTCACCCTCCGCCAGTCCACCCTCATAGGACCTAGGAGGGTGGACTGGTGGAGGGTGAGCCCCGCCACATGGGCCGCGCGGAACCAAGAGGGTGTATGATCCAGGGCAACGGGGCCTCCCCCCATGCTGATGCCTTCGACCCCCCCCGCTCGATGAGTTCCCGTCCTGTGGTGCATCGTCGTCGTCGTCGCCGCCGCCGCCGACGCCGCCGTCGTCGTTGTCGTCGTCATCATCGTCGTCGTCTACGCCTTCGACGACGACATCCACCCACGTCGTCGTCGTCGTCGTCGTCGTCGTCGTCGTCGCCGTCGTCGTCGTCGTCGTCCCCCGTCGCCCCCCCTCTCCCATCAGAGGGGGGGGCTTGTGAACCTTAGGACCCATCCCATCGGGGGGAGGGCCCGTGAACCCTCGACCCAGGATCCGAGATCCCCACCTGCTAGGTGGGCAGATCGGCCAGCGGGATCAAGGCCACGCCAGCGGGGATGGGGGTCAGAAAAAGAATGCTCAGACAACCGGGCGGCGTGAAGAGAACCTCGCATTATAATGTTCGAACCTACTTTAGCCTCGATCACCAGGAAGAATTTCGAGCACCCCAAAAAAGTACTGAAACTCGAGGGTTTTCACGTGTCGGGCCCTGGGGGACACTCGGCCGACACTGTTTCGACACTCTTTCGACACTCTTTGGACTCTTTCCAGGGTGCTCACAATCGAGGACGCCGGCCGCGCATCACCGGCCGCTCCCTGGGAGTTTGCCGAAGATCGCGCAGCATCGACAGTCGTGACGTGGCGCGGCCCATCCCGCCACCGTGCTTGGGTTTTGGGTCGGAGTCCTCGTGGACGCTTCTTGGGGTCTCGAGAGGGCTCTCGGGGCCTCTGCGGGGGAGTTTATTGCCTCTTGAGGGCCTCCTGGGGGCTCTCTTGGGGGCCTCTTGGGGCCTTTGGGGGCTCTCTTGGAGCCTCTTGGGGGCCTCCTGGGGGCCTCTAAGAGCCCCCTGGGGGCCTCTTGGGACCGAAAGCTCAAAATGTTCATTCGGGTTCCCGTTCTGAGCGCCCTCTTGGGGCCGTCCTGGGGCCTCTCTTAGGCCGTTCTGGGTGCCTCTTGGGCCGTCTTGGGGCCCTCTTGCGCCGTCTTGGAGCCCTCTTGGGGGCTTGTTGGGCCGTCCTGGGGCGATCTTGGGGGCCTCTTGGGCCGTCTTGGAGCGTGGGTAAGCCGAAATGGCGAGAACGCGAAAATCCTTCAAAAACCATTGAAACATCAATGATTTTTGCATGTTGGTGCTCTCTTGGGCGTGCTCTTGGAGGCCTCTTGGGCCGTCTTGGAGGCGTCTTGGGCCGTCTGGAGGCCATCTTTGGCGTCTTGGAGCGATCTGGAGCCGTCTGGAGGCTCTTGGACTGCTCGGGACTCTCTAGGACCGGCTTGGGGCGCTCTTGGGTCGTCCCCGGGCCGTTTGAGACCTTGAAGGGGGGGGGGGCCGGCGGAGGGCCGGCGGCAGAGTGGGGCCCCCTCGGAGGGACTTTCAGGAGGTTTTTGACCAGGCACTGGAGAAGGGGGCCAAAGACTGTGCCAAACACTCTGTCGCGGCCGGATTATCGAGGACGCCGGCGGCGCATCACCGGCCGCTCCCTGGGAGTTTTGCGAAGAGGTGCGCAGCATCGAAAGTCGTGACGCGGCGCGTATGCCAGCTATCAAATAGCCGTCGCCCCATCCCGCCACCGTGCTTGGGTTTTGGGTCGGACGGAGTCCTCATGGACGCTTCCTGGGGTCTCTCGAGAGGGCTCTCGGAGGCTTCTGCGGGGCAGTTTAGGGGCCTCTTGGGGGCGTCCCAGGGGCTTCTTGGAGACCTCTTGAGGCCCTCTTGGGGCCTCTTGGGGCTCTCTTGGGGTTTGTTGGGGGCCTCCAGGGGGCCTCTTAGGGTCTCCTGGGGGCCTCTCGAGCCGAAAGCTCGACATGTTCATTCGGGTACCCCTTCTGGGCCTCCTCTTGGGGCCATCCTGGGACCCCTCTTGGGCCGTCCCGGGGGCCTCTTGGGCGGTCTTGGGGCCCTCTTGGGCCGTCTTGGGGCCGTCTTGGGGGCCTGTTGGGCCGTCCTGGGGCGATCTGGGGGGCCTCTTGGGCCGTCGTGGAGCGTGGGTAAGCCGAAATGGCGTGAACGTGTAAATCCTTCAAAAACTATTGAAACATCAATGATTTTTGCTTCTCGGGGCTGTCTTGGGGGTGCTCTTGGAGCTAGCTGTTGCCGTCGTCGTGTTCCCCTGTGCCATTGTTCCTTCCCCCAGCTGTGGCCGTCGTCGTTCCCCTAGCTGTTGCCGTCGTCGTGTTCCCCTGTGCCATTGTTCCTTCCCCCAGCTGTGGCCGTCGTCGCCAGCCGCCTCCTCGCCCGCGACGGTCCCCCCCCCCCCGCCGCCCATGGCCCGCCAGGAGAGGGCGCGCCCCGCCGAGGCCCCCGGCGCCGGCGCCCGCGTGCCCGGCCTGCCCCCGGGCGCCGGGGGCCTCCAGGCGTCGGGCGCGGCAAACCCTCCAACTCGTATTATTCCAGATCTTCCGTGCTGACCTTCCACCCTCTTGCGCTACCTCAAACGCTGAGTTCTCTTGAATTGCGTAAGGCTTCAACTGTCATAGTGAACTGTTTGAGGCTCCAGCGAGTTCCAGAAGAACGCAAAGGCATTCTGAGACATGTCTCCTTCTCTTCTGTTCCCGCCGCTGGGCGCCGGGGGCCTCCAGGTGTCGGGAGCGGCAAGGACCCTGAGATCCGACGCTCCCCAAAAAATGGAGCGGGCGGTTTTTGCCAGTTTTCGGCCTCCGGGGGCCCTCGCCAGGCCTCGGGAGCGTCAAAGAACGACTCAGGACGAAAAACCGGTCTTAGGGAAGTGGTCTGGACCTCCTGGGTCCACGCACCAAACAAATTGGAGCAGCCGGATGTCTGGGAAGGAGGGGGGTGATGGCCAGGGTGAAGTCGGGCCGGACGAAAAGAGGGGATTGGGAAAGGGGGGGGGTACGAAATCTGTTGCATGCAGCTTGTTTCGGCCCCGCCGCCGGTCCCATTCTTCGATGTATGGCCGCCTCCGGCGCCGGGAGGCGCCGGGAAAATCAGCTACGTCAGCTGATTCTCAACCCCCCCCTTTGCTATCCCCCTCTTTCGCCCGACCCGAGTGTCGGGAGCGGCTAGGAGGGGGGTGATGGCCAGGGTGTAGTCGGGCATGTCCCTTCACAGGGGGAATATCCAAAAAGGATCCAGAAAATACAATGGGAACGATTTTTCTGAGATTTGTTGAAAATGTTTGAGTAACTATTTTGGGACTACATCTTAATTTTCGTCCAAAATCCGCCAGCAGGGGGACATGCCCGACCTGAGACTAGGGGGGGTGGATATCATGGCGTGGGCCATGATATCTCCCCAGACTTCATGGCGCCTCTTCTTATTTCATTGCGTCCCTGGCCCCGCATGGGCCGCGCAGATGCCGCCGGCCACAACTTGGACGCCCCCCCCCTCTTGGACGCCCCCCTCCATGGCCTCCCCCGAAGGTGCCGGGGTGCGCCGCGCCAGGGCGGACGCCGCAGGCGCAGAAGAACGAGCGCAGGACTTGCCAGCGAGCGCGGGCACTGGCCAGCGAGGGGAGGGCCCGCGGGCGGTGCTCTTTTTTGCTCTGTGAGAGGGTCGCCGCGGCCGACGTGCTGCAAAAATGTCCGGCCTCGGGCGGCCCTCGCAGGGCCCCGGGCGCGTCCAGAAGACGACTCGGGATGAGATGCCGGTCCTGGGGGGAGGTGCAGACCTCCGGGCGTCCACGTTTCGAAAAGGTCCCGACGTCGGAGTTCCGCGAGGGAGAGGGAGGGGGAGGGGGAGGGGGAGGAGGACAAGCTATGTGCGCTCGGGTCATATCTGACGTCCTACCCCTCCCTCCCATCCCTTACCCTGGCGCTGATTTTCTCCATCGCGGACGCGTGTCGTAGCGGACCTGTGGCTCCGCGTGCGCGTGCGTAGTGGGTGGTGGTGCGCGTGCGTGCGTGCGTGTGTGCGTGGTTGTGGTGGTGGTGGTGGTGGTGGTGGTGGTGGTGGTGGTGTGTGTGTGTGTGTGTGTGTGCGTGTGTGCGCGTGTGCTGTGGTGTGACGTGGTGTGGCGTCTTGGTGGTTTGGTGGTGGGCCAGGTGCGTGCGTGCGTGATGGCGGTGGAGGTGGTGGCGGTGGTGGTGGTGGTGTGCGTGCGTGCGTGCGTGCGTGTTTGTGTTTGTGTTTGTGTTTGTGATTGTGTTTGTGCTTGTGCTTGTGCTTGTGCTTGTGCTTGTGCTTGTGCTTGTGCTTGTGCTTGTGCTTGTGCTTGTGTGTGTGTTTGTGTTTGTGTGTGTTTGTGTTTGTGTGTTTGTGCGTGCGTGCGTGCGTGCGTGCGTGCGTGCGTGTCTGTGTGCGCGCGCGTGTGATGTGGTGTGACGCGGTGTAGCGTGGTGGTGGTGGGTGGGGTAGTGGGGTGGTGGTGGCGGTGCGCGGTGGTGGTGCGCGTGCGTGCGTGCGTGCGTTGGTGAGTGGAAGTGGCGGAGGGCGGGGCGGGGCGCGGTGCGGTGGTGGCGGGCGGATGGGCGCGCGAGAAAGAGGCCCGCGCTGGGGCAAGAACGCCATCCTGAACGACGGAGGCAAAACACCGATCCGAAAATGAGGCCCACGCTGCAGCGGGAGCACAATTCGGAACGAGCGGAAGCCCGAAAATGAGGCCGGCGCCTCAGCGAGAGCAGTATTTTGAAAAAAACCAAGCGAAAACCCAACTCCGGGAAATCCTGTGTGTAAAAAAAAAGTACGCGGAGGGGTGCCCGCCGTCATCCGCACGCCATCAGGGGATGGAGGAGAGTGTATTCATATCGAGAAATTGTGGAGGAGGGGGAGAAGGAGGAGGAGGAGGAGGAGGAGGAGGAGGAGGAGGAGGAGGAGCATGAGGAGTCGGAGTAGGAGGAGGAGAAGGAGGAGGAGGAGGAGGAGGAGGAGGAGGGGGAGAGAGCAGGTCGCCAGTCGAACCCGAGGCCCAGCCCTCGCCGTAGAGCATTTTAGAATTACCTTGTCCCATTGATGTCCAGGCCGACTCTTCGGAAGCGGCGCACACTGCGTTCTCATCTGCCCGTGTCTCGAGTTGCTTTCGCAAGTCCACGGACATTTTGAAAGCGCATTTCATGGTAGTTCGAGCAAGTGGTGCGTCAGACATAATGGCCGAAGGTGCGCGCTTTCTTCCCGGGCCTCGCGGCGGAGGGTCGACAGGTGTCTTCTTTTGAATCAAAAGCGGGCCAAAGGTACTCAGTATCCGTATTCCGTGACGACTGTATTCTCGCCTTTTGAGAAGAAGCCGTGCCAGAGTTTTTACCGATGCTTGATTTAAGTGCCGGAGGCGCCCGTTGCAAACCACCGCCGCTCCCTGTCTTCTGAAAACACCTATGTGGCCAAACGTTGGGCCGACAACTCGCCAAGCTATTGGACTACATGTGCCCCCACCCGTTGTTGAAACCTTTGGAGGAACGCTTCTGGGAGGAAGAGAGTAGAGGAGAAGAGAGAGAGAGAGAGAGAGAAAGGAGAGGGGAGGAGAAGGAGAAGGAGGAGGAGGAGGACCAGGAGGCCTCTTGGGGGCCTCTGGGGGCCTCCTGGGCGCCTCCTTGGGGACATCTGAGGACCTCTTGGAGCATCTTGTGGGCCCCAGAGTCTGAAAGGGGCCTGTGGTGTCGGCCTTCGGAGGCCGTCTCGGGGGTCGGGGGCCCCTCTGGGACGTCGTGGGGCCCTCCTTGGGCGCTCAAGGGCCGTCTAGGAGGTCTTCGGGCCGTCTTGGAGACCTCTTGGGGGCCTCTTGGGCCGTCCTGGCGCCTCTTGGCCGCACGTCTTCGAGCCCAATGGGGCCGTCGTCGGATGCCGAAAGCCCTAAAGTGCGAAAATGATTGAACCCATAATTACCGAAACTCAATGATTTCGACCTCCTGGAGGTCCTGTTGGAGACTTGATGGGGCGTCTTGAGGCTTGAGACCATCTGTGGTCGTCTTGGAGGCATTTTGGGACCATCTATGGGCCATCTTGGACGTCTAAAGGCGTCCTGGGACCATCTTGTTGGAGGCCATCTTGACCATCCTGGAGCCGTCCCTTTGTTCCCCCCCTGTTCCTTGCCATGCTTGGCGGTGTGCTGGGGTCTGTGCCTTGCCGTACCCCGGCTCCCTCTGCGAAGCTGAGAGGAGCAGCAGCAACAGGAAGAACAGCGGGAGCAGGAGGAGGAAGGGAGGAGCAGGAGGTGTTGTTGCGTGTGGTCTCAAGGACAGTCCCAAATCACTAGCCTCAATCAGGCTCGGAGGCTTCATCCTCCCAGGAATCTCCGTCACTGTCAGCGCTGCGGCCTCTCGCAGTGGCGATTCGCCCAATCTCTGCCACCCATCCTAGATCAGATTCAACTAGCCCGAAGCAGCGAAGCACTATTTGACGCTGCTCCGTCTGGCTCGGGAGAGCCGCCGGGGCAGCATCGACCCCAGGCGCCTCGTGCACATCTCCATTCGGTAGCTCAGCCCGCTGCGGCTCCCAACTGCTACGTAGCTTGCTGGCCGTACCCCTGTCGATTTCAACGGGGGCCCCTATGTGCAGATCTTTGGTGCGAGCCCTGGTGCTAGGGAACCTGCCCTCGGCAAGGCGGCGCAATTGTTCACGATAGCGCGGCCCTGCCTGAGCCCCGAGGCATGGCCACCGCATTTTAGCATCGGGCTTGAAGGCTGAGAAAAAACCTCCGCATCGGAAGCAACATGTGATCGACTCGGCAGGGCGCTCAACTATGTGGGCACATGAAAATGCATGCCCGCCGAGGCGCAGAGCTACTCCACAGTATTGACTCCACGACCCGTCCCATACGAATTCAAGTTCAGGATCACTCTGGACGCCCAGGCGCAGGCGTTCAGCTGCTCCGGCCTGGCCGCCAACGGTCGTCCCGGACTCACCAGCGGCAGCGTCCAGAATGGTTGGCGGCGCATCCGCATCAGCAGCTCCACCGATGGCCCCACCTGCAAGGAGCGCTGGTGTAGAACTGGCGCGGCCCAGCACGTCCTCGTAGTCGTTCGTGCCGTTGTCCACCATGACGCCTTGCAGCTCACCGAACCTGGAGGGGAGGAGCAGGAGGAGGAGGAGAAGGAGGAGGAGGAGGACTTTCTTTCATGGGCCCAGAGGAAGAATGTGAGGACGAGGCGGGGCGCTCGAAAAGAGAGGGCCGTAGGAGGGGTTGGAGAGGGGCTTCCCAGAGGGCAAGGGGGGGTGTTGTCAGAAGCCGCCTCGCCTGCTCGGGAGGTTGCCCCGCCCCTCCTCGGCTGGGGCACGGGCAGGGGCGGGGTCACGGGCATGGAAGATTGAAGATCTCAGCCGACGCCGATGCGTTTGGGCAGCCTGCGTGAATGATCCGCTTGAAGGTTTCAGGATCGTCTGGGCAGGGCCTTCAGGCACGCCCGTGAGGCCGAGCTGGAGCGTGGGGCCTCCGTTGGAGGATGCGCACCTGCCTGAAGACTGCGGAGCGACGGCGCGCGGCGGGGGGGGCTCGGCCTCTCCCCCCCCGCTGCTCCCCCCGCGGGCCGCCGGCCAGGAAGGACGCGCGGCGGGAGCGGGCGGAGGCCAAGGAGGACCAGCGCCGCGCGGAGCTGGCGGCCCCGCCCGCCCGCCCGGGCGAGGAGGCGCTGCCGCAGCAGCCGCAGCGGCCGCAGGCGGGCCCCCCCCCGCGCGAGCGCGCGCGCTCGGCGGGCGCTTCGGCGGGCCCGCCGCCTGAGCGCCGCGGAGGGCCGGCGGCAGGCTCGCGCTCGGGGTCGGTTCGCGGCGGTGGCCCGAGGTGCGGCGGCGGACCGCGTCGGGCGGCGCGCCCCAGGGGTGATGGGTCTGTTTTCCACCACCACCACCACATAAGTTGGAGGGGGGAAGGAGGTGGAGGAGGAGGAGGAGGAGGAGGAGGAGGACCCCTCCCCCTCCTACTCATGGTGGTGGCGGTGGGAAACAAGCCCACCAGGGGAGGGGCAGCGACAGGGGGGGGGGGGCTAGCACAGTCGACCCGCAGAGTGAGGATGGTCGGCTTTCCAAGGGTACCCGTGCGTGCATCTTTGCCCCCCTCCAGCCCGTCCTCAGCGACGTTCGCTGGCCAGCCTCGCTCGAGGTACGTGCACCGGGCCCTCCCGGGCAGGGCCCTTGCCTCCCCACCGCGCATCCCTGTTGTGCGGCCTGGCTGCAGGCAGAGCCTCTAGCAGGTGGGGGAGTCCGCGTCGACCCCCGGCGCCCCTGGGTCGCCGAGAGGGGCCCGAAGGCTCCGACCTGCCCAGGAGCGCTCGGATCCACGATCGGGGGCGTCTGTCGTCGATTTCTCGGCGACGTGCCGCCGGTTCCCGGGTGGATGCGTCCCCCCTCCCCTGTGCCAGCCCCCCCCCCTGCCGTTGCCGCTCAGAGAGGTGGCGGGCCTTCGCAGGAGGCGGCGGGGCTTCTCTAAAAAGCCCTCTCGCGCCCTCGGAGAGCCGCCCGCGTGGCTTCGGGGAGGGGCTCTTGAGGCTCTCCTCCGAAGGCGCGAGGGCATCTGAGCCTTCTCAGAAGCCCCGCCCCTTACCCATTGGTCGTTGAAAGCATGCATTTTTGGATTCCCAGATGTCAATCTACTTGAAGCGCCGTCCTACTTCAATGATGGAGTGGCATGACCTTTTCCGTCCTCCCAAGGGGGCGGACGGAACCCGATATATGTGCAAAGCTTCCCTACTTTATGATTATACCTATTTCTTCCGACCGATGGGTATACCTTCCCCCATAGGCTCGCCGCCCAACCATGCGTTGAGGCCGTTTGGTGGATTTCGAGCTCGCTGCACCGTGGCGGCACCCTTCTGGATCTTCCCCCCGCTCCACGTCGCGGAATTAGCCCGCCAGCACGCGTGGCCACGCGGAGAGGTTATTTTTTTGTGTTCTCTCTCTCTCTCTCTCTCACTGCCAGGGCTCGTGTCGGTTCCTCTGATTCGATTCGAATTCGATTGGACTTCGATGGCTTCCGATTCCGATTCGATTCGATTCTTGGGACTCCGATGTGGGTTCCGACTCATTGGAGGCAAACTAGCCTGCCGATCTCCGCCGATTCGACTTCTCCCGACTGGGCTGCCGATTTCCGCCGATCCGATTCATTTCGATCCCCGATCCGACTCATCGACTCGATTCTGGGCCCTCCAGCATTGCGGCGGCCGCCCTTCTTGGATTGGTCGGGGCCCCACGGGGGCACGCCACAGATGGGATGCTATGGTTAAAGCGGGCGTGCCCCTCTACAGGAGGAATATCCCAAAATAGTCAAACAATAGGCTGGAATATCCAAACATACGCTTGCAGGGGGACACGCCCGACCTGATGCTGCGGGGGAAGCCGAGCGGCTGGGAGTCGGCTGCGCGCAGCGAGGTTCGGGTTTCGGCGGTTTCGGACGTCTTCGTCGATGCCTTCAGCACAAGTGCAGCAGGGCTGGACCTAAACGGTGTTTTTGGCGATTTCGTGGGCCGTTTTCGTTCCGACTTCGTTTTGAGGCAAAAGCGGATTCGAGACAAGAGCGAGGGAAAACGAAAGCAAAACGAAAACGAAAAACACCGTTTAGGTTCAGCCCTGCCGTGCAGTTGCTGGGATAGTCTTGGAGACGTCCACGGCTTTGGCGCGAGAGCGCGCGTTTCAGAAGCAGCCGCCCTCAATCCGTGTGCTAGTTTGTTTCGAGCTCGTGTATTGTATCTCGTGGGAGAGACTCCCGGGGTAGACTTGTGCAAGGGGGGGTTGTCTGGAGGGGTTGTCTGGATCCCCGATGGGCTGTCCAAGGGGTTGTATCCGGGGCACCGACCCGTTTCAGGTTCCAGAATCACCTTGGAACGGTTCCTGGGTGAAAATTGGAACCTGAAACGGGTGATTTTCCATCTGGGCGCTCTCGGGAGCCTTGCGGGCGCATCTCGGGGATGGGGGAGGGTACACCCGAGCTCCCAAAATGGCAATTTTCCAAATGAAATCTCTTATTGGGGCGCTTGTTTTTCGCGGCTGGGCCCTCCCGCGCAGCGTCGGGAGGTCCCAGATGGATTTTCACCCCGGAACCGTTCCAGAGTGAAAATCCATTTGGAACCCTGCCCCAACGCAAAACGGCTCTGTCGGGGATGGGGGGGGGGTACCCGAGCTCCCAAAATGGCAATTTTCCGAATGAAATCTCTTATCGGGGAGCTTGTTTTTCGCGGCTGGGCCCTCCCGCGCAGCGTCGGGAGGTCCCAGAAATTGATTTTCACCCCGGAACCGCTCCAGGGTGAAAATCCATCTGGAACCCTCTCCCAACGCAAAACGGTTCTGTCGGGGATGGGGGGGGTTGTACCCGAGCTCCCAAAATGGCAATTTTCCAAATGAAATCTCTTATCGGGGAGCTTGTTTTTCGCGGCTGGGCCCTCCCGCGCAGCGTCGGGAGGAGGTCCCAGAAATGGATTTTGACCCCAGAACCGTTCCAGGGTGAAAATCCATCTGAAGCCCTCTCCCGACGCAAAACGGCTCTGTCGGGGATGGGAGGGGTGCACCCGAGCTCCCAAAATGGCAATTCTCCAAATGAAATCTCTTATCGGGGAGCTTGTTTTTCGCGGCTGGGCCCTCCCGCGCAGCGTTGGGAGGTCCCAGATGGATTTTGACCCCGGAACCGTTCCAGGGTAAGAATCAATCTGGAACCCTCTCCCGACGCAAAACGGCTCTGTCGGGGGCGGCTGGGCCCTCCCGCGCAGCGTCGGGAGGAGGTCTCAGATGGATTTTCACCCCGGAACCGCTCCAGGGTGAAAACCCATCTGGAACCCTCCCCCAACGCAAAACGGCTCTGTCGGGGACGGGGGGGGGGTACCCGAGCTCCCAAAATGGTAATCCCACCAGCCCTCTGGGCGTCGGTGGTTTAGGGCGTTTCCTCTTCCACCCCTCCCTCTTCCCCTTCGGGGAGGGTTTTACCCCTCCCCCTACCCCCTCCCCACTGACCTGGACGGGGGGGGCCGCGAGCGGTCAGAGCGTTCAAAACGGCCTCGGCGAGGAAGCCAAAATCATTGATTTTTCTATGGTTTTGGCCCCATGTTGGCCTTCTGAGGGGGCAGCGCTAATTAAAGCTCCCCTCTTCTTTGATCGATTTCCTCCACGATGGCCGCAAGAGGCCCCCAGGATGCCCCAAAAGGCCGCAGGATGGCCCCAAGATGGCCCCAAGAGGCCCCCCAACAGGCCCCCAAAAGGCCCCCAAGAGACCCCCAAGAGGCCCCAAGAGACCCCCCAGAGGCACCCAAGGTGCTCCCAGAAGCCTTTTTACTATAGTTTGGGCCCCCTTTTGGCCTTCTGAGGGGGCAAAGATGGCCCCAAGAAGCGCCCAGGAGGCCCCCAAAGGCCCCAAGATGGCCCCAAGAGGCCCCAAGAGGCCCCCAGGAGGCCCCAAATGTGAAGCGACTTCATCCCTCTTCTAGTCGTCTTGCCCATCATTCTCTTCTCGCCCCGTCTCTCCTTGTCCCTGCCTTCTCGTGCTGCCTTGCACTTCTCTTGGCCGCCGCCGTTTAGGGCCCTTGAGCCGCTCTCGCCTTGCCGGAAAGAGCGGACCGCCCAAGCGAGCCCTGCCGGGCATTCCGTCTCCCGCCTGGATGGCTTTCGTTTGAGACATCCTCAAGTTGGTAGCGGAGCGCGCTGCGCTCCTCGGCCTCTCCGCGCCTGGTGCCATGGCAACCGCAAGCTTCGAAGGAAGTGGTGTCAAAGCATGTCCGATAGCTGGTCTTCAACAGAGCTGGGAGTCCTACGAAGAGGATCTCAGTGCGTGGGTGCTGTCCACAGAGCTGAAGCCAGAACATGAAGGGCCACACATAAAGAGTAGAGGTTTTTCGTCCAACTTGTTCTTCAAGAACCAAGCGAAACTTCTTGACATGGCTCGGTTGTCTGCCGATCCAAAGAACGAGTCCGGAGCGTCTGGCTCCCTTGGCTTTAAGTACATGTTGTCATTTATGCAACAAGAAAACAGAACCAAAGACGACGTGGCAAAGCTGTTGCGTTTCCCGTCTTGGCTAAAGTACACCCGGAACGGTGGAAAACTGCAGGATTACGTATCCGAAAGCGTCAGGCTCACTAGCGAGTTTGAGGCCGATAAATTCGTCAAGCTGGAAGAGTTTGTCAAAGCCCTCATTCTCATAGTGAACGCAGAGCTGTCCCAACACCAACTCAGCAACCTGAGCGCTCGCTTAGACATGGATGCAACCCTGACTGTTAGAAAAGCGAGGGATGCAATCCAGAAGGTGCTGGGAGACAACCTCCTGGGAAAAACTGCGACGGACGGACTCGCCGCAGACGTCTGGGACGAGCCTGGATGGCCCGATTCTCAGTGGGAAGACACGGCTCACTACGACCAGCCATGGCAGGAAACCAGCTGGGAAGACGCCGCCTACGGAAATACAAAAGGGTGTTTGAGGTGTGGTGACCCCAACCACTGGGTCGAGAACTGCCCACACCCACCCAACAAGGGGAAAACGAAAAGAACTTTTACCCCTGGAAGGGGTTCAGGCAAAGGGTACGGAACAGGAGCTGGAAAGGTACCCCCTGGCAGGGGAAAAGGGTTAGTACAACGGAAAACCTACGACTGCAAAAGCCACAAGTTTCCAAAAGCAAAGGCAAAGGCAAAGGCAAAGCTTCACAGAAACCGTCGGGAAAACACAACCACGCATTCACAGCTGATGAC